GGCTAGGCCAGCGCGGTGGCAGGGGGCCCTTCCCCTCCCGGTGAGTTAGGGGCCTGGAAGGCCGAGTGGAGCTTCCTCAACAACTCGGGCTCCTCGCTCTTCACCCCCGAGGCCTCGGGGGTAGCCAGCGGGTGGGCCTCCCTGGGCCCGCCGCGCCCGGAGCAGGCGAGGAAGGCGCGGCAGGCGGCGCGCAGGCGGGCCATGTCCCGGTGCGTGGTCTCGCTCACGAAGCAGTACAGCACGGGGTCGGCCACGCAGTTGAAGCTGGTGAGCAGCAGCGCGAAGTGGTAGGCGTCGAAGACGCGCGTGGCGAACTGGCAGCTGGACTCCCAGAGACTGCGCACCAGCAGCAGCGCGTGGTAGGGCAGGAAGCAGGCCAGGAAGATGACCACGGTGCTGAGCACCAGCCGCCGGATCTGGTCCTTGCGGCTCTGCTGGGTGCCGTGGCTGCGGCGCACGGCCCGCAGGATGCCGCGGTAGGCGGCCAGCAGCAGGCCGAGCGGGAACAGGAAGCCCACGAGGAAGCGGTAGTAGTTGATGCCGCGCTGCCACGGCTCCAGCGGGTAGTGCTCGAAGCAGACGCGGTGCCGGTCCTCGTCCTCCACCACCTCCGCGTGCAGGAGGAAGAAGACGCTGGCCAGCAGCTCCTTGGCCCAGACGACCGCGCTCACGCCCGCCGCCGCCTTCAGGGTGCGGAACCGGTGGAAGCGGAAGGGGTGGGCCACGGCCAGGTAGCGGTCGATGGAGATGCAGCACAGGAAGCCCACGCTGATGTAGATGTTCTCGTACAGGAGGATGCCGCACACCTGGCAGGACAGGTCGCCGTAGGACCAGTCGTCGTGCTCCAGCACGTACTGCAGCCAGAAGGGCAGCGAGCAGATGTAGAAGAGGTCGGCCACCGTCAGGTTGCACAGGTACACGCCCAGCTCGTTCCGGGCCTTGATCTGCAGGTAGCCGAAGTAGAGAGACAGGCAGTTGGCCGGGAAGCCCACCACCAGCACGGTGACGTAGACCGCCGGGGCCAGCGTCTGGTGGATGGTGTGGTCGATGGTGCAGTTCGGGGCGCTGGTGTTCGCCGTGGTGTTCCCCATCTTCGGGCCTGCAGGGGCCCCGCCCCTCACGGGCTCGGGGGACGGGCCCGTCTCTCTGCGGCCATGTCGTTCAGGGGACGCAGATGCGGTTCCAGCTGCATCGGAGGCTGGGCCTCATTGGTGGTGGGTGAGCTTCTGAAAGTCAAAGGCGGGAAAGGCTTAGAAGAGGAGCGGCTGACAGGTACAGAGCACCTACTGTGTGTCAGGAGCTGTTCTAAGTGCCTCACTTAATATAGAGGTGACCCGCCCAGCCAACTCCAGCTCGACTTAGAACCTCTGAACGTGGTGGGGTTTTCTGTTTTTAATTTATCTCAATTTGTTGTGTTGTTGTTTTTAAATATGTCCTTATTGATTTCAGAGACAGGAAGGGAGAGGGAGGGAGAGAGACAGAAACATCAATGATGAGAGAGTCACTGATTGGCTGCCTGCTGGGGATCAAGCTCACAACCCGGGCATGTGCCCTGACCGGGAATCGAACCGCGACCTCCTGGATCCTAGGTAGATGCTCAACCACTGAGCCACACCAGCTGGGCTGAACATGGTTTATGTCTGTCTTCCCATCCTCCCTCCCTGCCTTCCTTTCCCTTATTTATGTTCCTGGTTCTGTGAGCAGAGCCTAGCCTGAGCCCAGCTCTCCATGGAAAGCTGAAGGTAAAGATTAATTCCAACCTGCCTGCAACAGCGAGGGCCCAGCCACTATCTTCTACAGCAATAAGCACCATTCATGTTTTTCCCACTTGCTCATGGGAATGACCAGGTGAGTCAACACTGAGGCCATAGCCCCTCCTGGGGACCTCTCCAGGCAGCATGGGAGAGGCCCAACCTTGTCCACATCCCACAGTGCTCTGGCAAGACACAAAGGCCGGGCTTCCCCAGGCACTGCCTGGATTCCTGGGTGTTTGTCAGCAGGTGCTAACCCTCCTGTCTTCCACAGAGCTTGGGGACTCAGCATGGGGGACAGTGCAGAACAAGGCACCGACAGGCATGAGCGCCAGGCCAAGCCAGCCGCTTACAGGCTGTGCAAGTCATTTGCCCTTTTTGAGCCTCAGTCTCCTCATCTGTAAAGTGGGGCTAGAAACACCTGCCCTCAGGGTCAGTATCAGGGCCACATAAGAGGATGGAGGTCAAATGTGTGGCACTGTTTTTCTCAGGGCAAAGAGGTGGAGTAAAAGATGGTAGTCTTGCCCTAGCCTGTGTGGCTCAGTAGTCAGAGCTCCAGCCTGTGCACTGAAGGGTCTCGGGTTTGATTCCCAGTCGAGGGCGGGTACCTCGGTCTCGGGTTCTGTCTCCAACCCCAGTCGGGGCACGTGCAGGAGGCAACCAGTCAATGTGGTTCTCTTACATCGATGTTTCTCTCTCTCTTTCTCTCCCCCTCCCTCCCTGCCGCTCTATCTGAAAAACAATGGAAAAAATATCCTCAGTGAAGATTAACAAACAGAAAAACATGGTAGTCTTACATTAGTGAAAAGTTCACATTGCTAAGAACTTAACGAAGGAAATGCTATATATACAGATACATTTGAACAAGCTAGAATAACATTTTTTGTTGTAAGCTTACTTTAGATATTAATATATAAATATACCAAAATATTAATATATCAAATATCAATATACTATATTAAATAATTAAATAAATTATTATAAATAATTATTAAATATATTAAATAATTGTAATAATTAAATATATTATATTTAATATAACACATTAATGTTACATATTAAATATATTAATATTAATATATTAATATTTACATATTAATATATCAAAACCGAAGGCCTAAGCTTCTCTATTAACACTCCTGGTTCAGATGAAAAATCTGGCTATGTCTCAATCAGGATCTTTTTCAACCTTTTTTTCTTTTTCACAATCACCCTCACAAGGAGCCTTTTTAGACATTTCTCTCCCACCTCCCCCCACTCCAGGAACATTTTAATACCTCAGGTAAACTGCATGTCTGTTTATGTACTGTGCTCTTTGGGGGGGGGCGGCAAGTCATTTAATATCTAAGATTTTTTCACCCCACCCAAGAACCAACTTTCACCCCCTTGAGAATGCTGGTCCGCATGGCTGCAAATGCTGAATGAGTGGGGCCGAACGAGGCGGTTTGGCGGGATCAGCGGATCACCCTGCCCTTTGCTCTCTCTTCACCGTAGTCAGGCTGGGGCTCTCCGACCAGAAGAGAAACCCCTCAGAGTTCAGGACCCACAACTCATCAGCTGCTGACTAGGGCCCCTCCCTCCACGACTTCCCTCCAACAGGTTCTGTCGTGGCTCCTGCTGGCCCTGTGGCCCCCGAGCTGGGCTCAGGCTGGAAGTGGGTACAGTGTGCTGGGAAGGGGCTCAGAGACATCAATCAGTCCAGCAGTTCCCTGCCTGAGGTTCGTGGAGAATAAACTTGAGGGGTTCCCCGGGAATCAAATGCTCAATCTTATAAATATATAAGTATGCGCATTTTTCCGGGGAAAGGGGCCTGTACCTTTCATAAGCATCTCAAAAATGGGCGCGAGATGGGCCTGGTCCAAAGCTGGCGCCTTCTCACCTGGGCTCCCTGTGGCTCTCTCCACAGCCAGGCCCAGCCCCTCCCCAACTCTCCCACTCGTGACCCCGAACGTTATCCACCCAACACCTAAGTGCACACGGGCCCTCCCCTTCCTCACTTAAAGCCCACCGCGCCGGTTTCTTATCGCCCCTACAGCAGATCCCAAATCCCTATGAAGCCTACAAGGCCCAACGTGAACTGACTCCGGCTCCCCGCACCTTGCCCGTCACCACCGCACACTAGCCGCACCGGCCAGCCTTCTGTGCCTCGGCGGCCCGGCCTCGCCCCGGCCTTGGCACCGGCTGCTGCCGGTCCTGGAGCCCTGCCCTGCCCCCGTCCCGTCTCCACCTCCACCTCAGGTGGGCTCCTTGGCTGCCTGATCGCAACATCAACGGCCCCTCCTCCCCGTGAGGCCTCCTTGGCCACCCTGCTCCCAGCCGCCCCCCATAACCATCACACCATCCTATGTGACTGCCCCACAGAGCGCCCGTCGGTACCTGGGACTTTTCTCATTTATTGACTTGTCTGCTTGTCGGTGATCCGTGTCCTCCACAAGAATGTAAATTCCGAGAGGCCTTGGGCACCTCGAACAGTGCCTGGCATTTCACAGGCCCTCGTGAGCACTCCGGAAGGAGCGAGTGGATGCTACCTCCCCGTTTCACAGGTGAGGAAACCGAGGTCCCAAAGGGGGGTGACTCGCTCAAAGCCAGCCCGAGCAAGGAAGCGTTGGTGTTAGAACCCAGGTCTCCTTGCTCCACGTTCCACCCCCTGCCACTTCCAGTCCCCACCTGAGACTCACCCCAACCTCTCAGCCCCTGGAAGACTGGGACCCCCAGTCAGGCGCACCTCCCGCCCTCTCCTCTCCAGGACACAGGCTGGCATGTCAGTGATGGTGATGGAGCGGGTGCTCCTCACTGTCGATGCTTTTAATTGTGGTTAAATGTACATAACATGTTGACCATTTTGAAGTTACTGTTCTCTGGCATTAAGGACATTCACACTTGTGCAACCATCGCCACCATCCATCTCCAGAATTCTTCATCTTCCCCAACTAAAAAACTCAGCCCCATTAAACACCAGCTCCCCAGCTTCCTCTCCTCCCAGCCCCTGGCACCCCCCGTTCTACTTTCTGTCTCTGTGAATCTGGCTATTCTGGGTTCCTCCTGTAAGTGGAGTCAGGCTGTATTTGTCTTTTGTGGGACCAGCTTGTTTAACTCAGCATAAGGTCCTCAAGGCTCATCCGTGTTGTAACACGTGTCAGAATGTCCTTCCTTTTTAAGGCTGAGTAATATCTCACTGTATGTATTACTGCATTTTGTTTTTTCCATTCACTTGTCAATGGACATTTGGGTTGTATCTACCTTTTGGCTACTTTGAATAACGCTGCTGTGAACACGGGTGTACAAGTATCTATCTGAGTCCCTGCTTTCAGGTTTTTGGGGTGTACACCCAGAAATGGAATTGCAGGATCATATGGTAATTCTATTTTTAATTTTTTGAGGAACCGTCGCTCTGTTTTCCACAGTGGCCGCACCACTTTACATTCCCACCGCCAGTGCCCAGGGTTTTCTTGTTTTTTGCTGTGTTTTTGTTTTGCTTCAATGTTCTGAAGGTGAGAGGAAGAGGAGAAGGGGCACCTGAGACCTGTGACCCCCTAACCTCTGCCCACAGCCCGGCAAGTCAGGATTTGGCCCCACTCGCCCCCCTCCTGCCAGCTCTCCTGTCTTTGAATTCCAAGCTCATCCCTGTGGGGCCAAACAGTTCACCTGACTTACCTATGAGGACGGTGACAGCAACACAGGTCCCTGAACCGTCCCAGGGGCACCCACCCAGGACCTCAGGTTCTCCGTAGTCCAGATTCAATCCACCCACAGGAAGATAAAATTCATTCATAAACGCGGGCCCTCACAAGCCAATAAAGCAGGGCAAATGAGCCACAGTGAAAACACGTCCTGCCAGGCCTTAAGAACCCCCGGAGAGTCACCAGCCCTAAGCCTGCTGTTTACCAGTGTGAGTGCATGTGCGGGGCGGGCTGGGACGCCGGCTGTGGCTTCCTCCTTCCTACGCCAACAGTAAGTCCAGTCTGGCAGCTGAAGTCACAAATAGTCAAGACTGCAGGGCAAAGAAGAAACACTTACTATGTTTAAAGTACCTCCCACGTTCACTTTGGAGCGAAAAGATGGTTTTGACATTCCAGACAGAGGTTCTTGAACTTGGGTGCCTCTGAGTCACCTGGCGGATTTGTTAGAACAGATCACGGGGCCCCACCCACCTGCAGTTTCTGACGGCGGGCCCGAGGCCGGGCTGAAGAACTTGTCACAAGCCTCCGGGTGCTGCTGGCGCTCCCGCCCGTGAACTGTGCTTGGAGCTGCCAGGGACTCAAAGGTCCAGGAGGCCTGGGGTTGCCCCTGATCAAGTGTCCCACAGGAGTTCCAAGGCTGCGGAGCACAAGCAGCTAGAAGGGGAACCTGAGACCCGGCAGAATCTGTGGTTAGAACCAGGACGCAGCCTTTGGCAGATAACAGCCCTTTTCAGGCTTTCAAAATTGCATGGCTGTGTTTACACTCTGTATTTGCAAAATCTCTAGTTTACAGAGCAGTTCGCATCTGCCCTCTTGCCCACCTTCAAAACAGCTTTGTCATTTTCCCCATTTTAGGGACAAGGAACCGGAGGCCCAGAGAGACAGAGCGGCTTCCCCAACAGCCCAGCACCCCTGGGTTTCATCCAACAAATATCTACAATGTCCACGGCACCAGACTAGACATGGGGGCTCAGAGGGAAGGGAGCAACGGCTCCCACCCTCGGGGAGCCTGCGATCTCGCC